GGGGGAGGAAAACCGCGGGGGGGGGGGGGTCAGGAAGAGACATGATGTGACTTCCAGTGCAAACTTGGACGTGATCTAGTGCCAACAGTGTGACATCACCCCGTCCCCCCCTCCCCGGCCCTAGGGTCAGCGTACCTTTTGAGGAGGTCTCGGAGATGATAAGCTGGGATGGCTGAATTTTCCACACTTTTGCTGACAAAAATGTGATCAATAACGGCAGCATTATTTGCCTAGAAAGGAAAGGGGGAGAGAAAATCTCACAGAGAAACCATTTGTGTGGGAAGATTGAGCTACACCCAAGATAGCACTCAAAATCTCAGAACAGTATAAAAAATGGTTTACTAGCACTTATTTTTTCTACATGCAATATTAAAAAGCCAACAGACTAAACGTGTTTCCACATTAGTCAACCTTGCAAACTACCCCCCTATCAAGGTCAGCAAGAAATATCAATCTCTCCCCCTTTCAGATTTAAATCTTCCTCTTTCTCTGTTAGGAAATGCAATTAATTCACTTGCTTAAAATATGTGGCATTGGGGGGGGGGGGAATCCAACTACATTAAGGAAACATAAATGCACTTAAATTCTCTTAAGCAAAGGGTGGCCATTTCTGCTCACTCCCTCCACCCACGGCAGACTATCGCGATGATGTTCCTGACGGTCTGCTAACCTCGTGGAACAGAATTTCAGGGGGCTCAGAGGACTGGAGGTGGAGGGAGGAAGCAGTGAAATTTGCCATCCTCTCTGAAGAAAATTTTAGGGCCACTTAAATTTTCCGAACTGTGTTGTTGGATCTACCCCTCATTTTCTGGTCTGTGGGCACCCAGATGCAGTGAAGATGGTTAACTATTACTCACTGGTAGCAGTTCATTGTAGCCAGGATTGTACAGTTACGTTTATGGGGGCCTAATGAGTGGCCCTATGATTTTGTTAGGGCAGGAGCCCCTTTTAGCCTTTCCCTGAAGGAAGCCACAACTTGGCTCCCATGGGGCACTCTAGAAGTTCGACTATTCCATCTCTCCATCAAGGTAAATTCAAGCCATATAGGATGCTGCTTGCCTTCAAGAGAGAAAGAGTTCTTAACGCGCCTGAGGAGCAACTCTCACCAAAACCAGAAGAAGTCTTCTTGGGGGATTAAAGCTTCGAAAGCACACCAATTTCTCTCCGAAGTGCCCTACTCACCTTCCACTCCCAAGACTGGACAATGTGTTTCAGTTTCATTCCGGAGAACATCTCTAGCAACACGATTCCCAGGCTCCAGAGATCCACAGCAGACGTGCACTGGGTTCCACCTTGTAGTCCAGCCTGAGACAGATAGTTCTGCAGCTCAGCCTCAGGAGCCCGGTACCCATCTGTCTGAATATATTTCACATCCTACAGAAAATTAAAAATAGCTTTAGAATGTTAATTTGTGGAATCTAGGTATCTAGATTCCTGTACCTGGCACAAAATATA